GGGGCCGTGGGGCGGACGGTTCGGCTTTTGGCCGATCGGGAGGAGGCGGAGCAGGGGAGGCAGAGCGACCGGGGTCGAGAGGCACCGAGGGCTCCGGGGTGAGGCCGGTGGCGTGAAGGGGCGGTGGTTGGGTTGGTAGGCCCGTGTGCGGTACCCCGGAGCGGGGGGGGTACACCGCGGCCCGTCACGGCAGCTTCTGAGGAGATTTTTGCTTCGCCGGCTGTTCGCTGCCGAACAGGAAAGTAAAACTTGCTTTGGGAAACGCTGAGCCGTGAAATAAGGGTTGCAGCTCGGGCAGAGCTGACTTAAATTTCCCCGTGGGTTTTACATCACTAAAATTCTTGTAGGTTGTCTGTTTTATAGTTTTGCTGTCTTCTTAGAGAGCCTCTGAGGTCTGAATTTCGTCAGCGTTTTATCTGTGAAGAACTCGTGGCAGCCTTTATAAGAAAGTCTGCAAAATCAATTTAAGAAATACCTATGCAAGGGGCTCATTTTCCGACGGTGGCTAAAGGGTTTGCATTGCCAAACTTTTAATTAGGTGCGACGTACTGATGTTCCACTGGTGACACGTACATTTGGTAGCACTGCACTCTGCTGCATAGCAGTGTGGGCAAGAGAAATCTGAAGTTGCTGCTTGTCTTGCCACAGTGGGTGTGTTTTATAGCTGATGCTGGGTAGCTGCTTCTGTGCTACCCAGCTGCATTTCTGTTTGGTTTTTTTTTTTTCGGTAAGTGCTTGCCCTGAAGCATCTTTTCTTATTACCCTCATTTGCAATTAGCATGCTGTAGGGCAGCTGCTGACCTTTTGAAACGAATATTTTGCTTAATCAGAGGGCAAGATGGTTGAGTCTGCAAGAATATCTTGTTTTTAAATAATCTCAGCCAGTAGTTTATTTAAAATTTATTTTGCTAGGTGTGATGTCTTCTAATTTGGAGGGCACTTGTTTGCTTTCCTTTGTAACTGTTTTATGAACAATTACTGTAAATGAAGTTATACCTACCAAGCAGCTGTGGCTACTTAAAATGTACTTGGAGAGAAACATGGGGGAAATAATTTCATACCATTTTTTTTTCCTCACTCTTCCTTTAATAATGGATTAAAACCGGCAGCATAGTACTGTTGTAGTATGCAGTATGCATTTCTAACTATACCTCTGTGTGCAGTTACCCAGGTGCAGCCAACCATGCTTCCTTTTCTGTTTTTTTTCTATTTTGCAGTTCTGATACTGAGTTTTCAATAACATTGAACAGAAAAGATGCTCTCACAGAAGATCAGAAGACCTTAGCTTCATATGGGATTGTTTCTGGTGATTTGATATGCTTATTACTAGAAGAAGCAGATGGACAACCCAACCTACCTCCTCCTCCTTCTACTCCTCCCCGACTTGAGAATGGTCATGAGCCGTCCACCTTGATCCCCAACAAAAGTCAGGCCAACAGTCCAAACAAAGAAGGGCAGAATGAGCAATCTGAAAACCAGAAAGCTCAAGTGGAAGTTCAAAAGACTGACGAGAGGGTAAGTACATGAGAATTGCCCTGCACAACACAAGGCAAAAACCAAGGTATCTTGTTGTGTCAGGTGCTGTACTATATAGTAGAGAATCTTTACAGAATAATTGGTTCCTTATACTTGTCTGATATATAGCCAGTTACTTGGATGGAAATTTGTCTCTATTCTTTGTTTATTAGCTGTGACACACAAGCTAGTTCAGAGAACCTGAGATGTTTCAGGTCTGACATTTTTACAGGATTTAATGTTTTTGCTGGAACATGCACTTTCCGTAAGGTAGTTAGGAGTGTGCTTCTTACCTGCCCCAGTGCTGTCTTCTCAAGGAAACTGATTCTAGGTACTGAACAAACGCGACAGGCACTGCCTGTCGGAAACACCACTGGCAAGATGAGTGCATGATTCCTTTCTAATGGGTTATAACAGTTCCCTGTGATTCAGACGGCCTGCCGTAGTGTGAGACCTGTCTGTCTTGTGCATGGAGGTAGTGTTGCTGAGATAGCTCCTGCCTCATGCTTCGTAGGTGTACATCTGTATGACCCCGAATGCTTCAAGCAACTAATAGGCACATTTTTTCATATTACTTATTGGTTTGTTTCCTGTGTGACAGTACATATGATAGTTAAGCAGTGGTTAATGGCCTTCCTAAAGGAGGCTCTGCAGGTACAGCCTAGTGCCACGGTCTGCCTCATTAGACGATCCTGTCTGTTTTAGGCAGGAGCTTGAGAAGCTGGGAGGAAATTGTCTTCCAACATTCTTTCAAAGCAAGTATTTTTTTTGTTTTGGAATGAATTTCAAATACTAAATGTCCCTTAATACAACCTTTATATGAGGTCTTTTAAATTTTAACGTATGAAAATTAAGATTTAGGATAAAAAGAATTGTAAAATAATGAAAGAAAATGTAGTTGGACGATTGTCTCATTGATTCTTGTTGGGAGCAATAACCCTTACATGATGCTGTGGGCGTGCAAGCTCCTTATGTCTGTCAGTCAGACCATAGTAAAGCTGTGCAGAAGTATCTGTTTCATATTTATTTAATATTTGAAGGCAAGATGAAGGATTCTCACATCTTCCTCCAAAATTGTGGTGAAAGATGGCAGGAAAATTTCTAAGCAACTAAGTGTCATTATAGAAGAGCTCTAGAAGTCTGAAAAACTATGTTTAACTGGGGCTACATCTATTGCTGTTAATGAGAGAAGGGAAGTTCCACGGGTGGATGGCCATGCCAGCCTCATACAAACATAAGGGTGTCTTGGGCCATTGAGCGTAGATGTGGGGGAGAAGTACCTACAGCTCCTTTAGACTCTTTTTTCCCTTTCCTCACCCTTCCCTTAGATAAATCTGCTTAAAGTTTCCATTCGCTACTTTTTTTGGTAATGTATCTGTGGGTGGTTTTATAAATTACATAATAATATGCTGTGATTTTGGTAGAAGCAAGGAAGCCACAAAAAAACCACAGTCCTCCTCAAGTGGCAGCAGATACGCTCCATTGATGTTTTTTTTTTCCCCAGCTATTTAGGCCTATTGTGTTTCTAAGCAGCCTGAGTTACCATTTTGGTTACTTGCCATGCATGTTGGCTAAATTTGAATAAATGGTGATACACAGGAATAATTTACTCACCATAGTATGTTGCAAAAATTCTAATGAAGGTTTAGTTTATTATTATCACTTTGTCTTCAAGTAGTATATGCAAGAAAATGAGAGATCCTTTTATGAAGGGCTTGCATCATAAATATTAAAAAATACAGAGGCTATGTGTATAATCCCAGTCTCCATCTGGGATGCTAGAAAATGGAGATGTAATGAGTCTGTGCAACTTGCATGAGAAATCAGTAGAGCAGACTTGGTGCCTGTGAGGACTGGAATAAGCAGATGAATAATATTGATGTATATAAAGGTGTAATTTTCTGAACGAAGGTGTGTTTTGCTTTCCCTTGAAGGCAGGATCCAGTCTAGAGTTTCCTTCTGGATTAGTCCCAGAAGATGTTGACCTGGAAGAAGGTACAGGTTCCTATCCCTCCGAACCCATGCTGTGCAGTGAAGCTGCTGATGGTGAAATACCACATTCCTTAGAGATGCTCTACCTTTCTGCTGAGTGTACCAGTGCCACTGATGCCTTGATTGTTCTAGTACATCTTCTCATGATGGAGACAGGCTATGTACCTCAGGTAGGTGCACAACCAATCAGGAAATTCCTTGGTCAGTATGAGAAAGCTGTGTAATATTGTGGGAATGTGGGATACAAGATGCATCTGAAGATCCACTTCTGGCTTTGTATATGTCAGTCAGCAGCTGGGGCTACTGAAGTATCAGCTTCTCTAATTTGCCTGACCAGTAAGCATTAAGGCTAAAGACTAGAGCAGCTTTTAGGTGTGAGAGAAGAAGCATGTCCCTGTGTTTCTTTCAGTCCTCAGCCTCACTGGGACCCAGCTGACAACCTCCTGTTTCTGCTTTATACATTTGAGCTTGTGTAGATGTGCTTAGATTGTAGCACTTCTTTGAAGCGCTGCCTTAAGCATCAGTATCATCTCAATGGTATCCTGTTCAAATGGTGGTTAACAAGGCCTAGGCCTGACAAAATGGTGTCTCCAGTTCCTTATTCACTTCAGCTGAGTTCAGTTATGCTTTGGTTCTGCTAACCTACAGAGATATCTAACTCGTAGTCGAGCATCTATGGCGATACCTCTGTATGATGTATGAATTCACCTTTTCCCTTTAGATTTTCAGAGATGTGGCTGAACATGCAAAACAAAGATTTGCCCTCAGGGAAGGTGTTTAAATCTCATGTGTTTTCTTGTAGTGAGGTTAACCGAGCATATGTAGGGGGTCAGTTTAGGTTTCCGGTTGACCAATACCAGTTTAATAAATCTGCTGAGGTAATTGCATTTCTATAGCCTGAAATGCTATCTGAAGAATACATTTGCCACTGGGAAGAAAGTTTGTTTATGTCAGTCAGTAGGCTTGGAAGTAGGGAAGATGATTGCTGCGCAGATTGAAGAGGAAAGAGAGAGAGTCTACTTGTAGTTGTGATTATGTTGTGTCCCCCTCTGGGATTCCATCTGAGCCTTTTCATGCTGAAATTGAAGGGAAAAACTGTTAGTCTGCTCAGATTTTTGAATGGATTTCAAGCTATGATTCTTCAAGCCCTGTCAGACCTCATAAGTTCGCAGAAAAGGTATGATGACATGTTTTTCATGCAGTAAATTAACGTACATGCAGGAGTTGTCAGAATGCTGGAACAAATGACAGAATGAAGTACATGTCTCAAAGAAATAGGTGTGAGTCTGCTCACTGAACAGCCTCCCCTGTCACACACTGGGACAGGATAAAAAATTACTAAACTTCTCCTTAGATTTTTTGATAGTCTTGGGGAAAATAGTATATAATCATGCAATTGTAGTCTGTGTCATAATGTGCATTGGGACTGAACCAAGATTTGAATTGCAGGCAGCATTCTGCCAGTTCCTACCTTTTAATTCTCTTTTTTCACCTCTTAGTCTTGCTAAAGTATGGCGGTGTTATCTGTGTGTATTTTTAGGGGACAGAAGCCAAGGCAGTGTCTATGCCAGAGAAATGGAGAGGGAATGGTGTTTATAAGCTACAGTACACTCATCCTCTTTGTGAAGAAGGTTCTGCTGGTTTGACTTGTGTGCCTTTGGGAGATCTTGTTGCTATTAATGGTAAGTTAGTCAAGTTTTTATCCTGGATGCACATTGCTAAATATCACCATTGTTTAGCAAGAGAGGACTTAAATGTGCTTTTGTGCACTCTGTTTAGAACTGCACCTTGATTATCCAGGTTGCTGAGGTGCAAGACATGCTACTTCCTGATGCTTAATATTCTTGGCATTTCCTGTCTCCCTGTTAACTGTTTCTCTCCCTCTCATCATAACAGATCAGTCCTTAGAGGATTCAGCTGGCCTTTTCATTGCAATGTTGTAGAAATCTGTTTCTTGTCTCATTTCATGGGAATGTTTGTATACATTGCCAAACATTAAGAGAGGTAGATTGGCTCCAGCTACAATATTTTGTCTTGTCTCATGTTCTTTGCAAGACTTATAAACAACTTCCAGACTATGTATTCTTTAGCTTTAATGTATAATCTTTCTTGTAGCACGCCAACAGTTTAACTGTGGTCTCAAAAATTGTATTTAGTTTAAACTATTCAGTCCAGAAAATTTAGGGAAGTCTAATTTTTTGAGGGAACTTCCGTATCACTTGGTGGTTTTTTTTTAGTTTTGTTTGTTCATTTGTTTGGTTTTTCATTCTTTTTCATATTTTATTTAGCATTCGAGCAATTCCACATTTTTGCAGAACCAACACTAAAGTGGGTCTTGATTGTAATTTCAAGATACCATTGATTCAGATTTTTATGTTTATTTGTAAAACTTGTAACTGATTATGCCAATTTGTATAAGCACATATGTTTTCTCAGAACGTGTACACATTTTGATCAAATGTTTTGACCAAGTCAGGTTAAGGTTAGATTTAGGACAGTGTAATGACTACCATGCATATAGTGTTCCTATAGTAAGCTTGTTGAATCTTTCTCTAGTTAATATTTCTTTAATGACTGGGTTATAATAATGGCTCGCTGTGTACCTCTTCTAGCTGTGTTACATCTCTTTCCGCGTGACACAACTGTGGAAGGCAATGCTTGGTTTCTGTCACCCAGAACTTTGTTTATTCCCTGCTATTTTAAGTCCCATTTTATTTTTCTGAAATTTTTATTTGTCTTGCTGCTTGCTATAGTTAGGTATTTTCCTTGAGCGGATCTGGTAAGGGAGGAAAGTAAAACACCTCCAAAGGGTAAGGCAGTATGAAGTTGTCTTTGTCATCTCTCAATGTGTTTTAAATTTTGAAATGTCTTTTTCTTACATTTGCAGCAACATTAAAAATCAACAAAGAGATTAAAGGTGTTAAGAGAATACAGCTATTGCCAGCATCCTTTGTTTGCTTTCAGGAGCCAGGTATGATTGAGCTATGATACTCATAGTAGTAAACTGAAAGTAAAGAAGTGACACAGTGAATAAGGATATTTAGTAGGGGTCCGAATAGGTACAGAATAGCAAAAAAGAACAAAAATGTGGTTATCGTTTAGGTTAGTGATAGCTCTGTGGTAAAAGGAATTCAGAGTGTAGCCATTTACTCACATTTTGTTTTAAATTTTAATTTCTTGGATTAACAGTGTAAAGAAAGAACCTTGCAAAGCCCAAGTCATCCTTTGGCCTGTATGCCTGTTATTTATGAGGTCTTAAGCATATGTGTGAATCGCTGGGGCAGCAATGCTGGATTATATCCCCTTTCTGCCTGGCAGTTCAGGACTTCAGAGGCTGATGGTACCTACATTCTTGTTGTGGCACTGTAATTGTTACATTCTTTTTGTCAGAAAACATGTGCTGACTACATAGCTCTCTCCAGAATGCCAAAATTAGAGGGAAAAGTAAGGAGGCGGCAGAGGAGAGAAGGGCAGGTAGATATGGATCCTTGTGAGCACAGACCTGACTAGCCTTTTTGTTCTCTGAAGTATATGAACTGCTTTGTTGGCAGTTGAGGCTCACTCAGTGTCCTGCACTGTGTCCTGGGTAGCCCTAGTTGCTGATGTACAATTCCAGTTGACAGGCTTTGGAAGAATTAACTGAGCACTGAAATGTATCTGATATAAAGGTAGTCTTCTGGCTCCTCTGTCTTCAGAGAACAGAATGGAAAAACATTCCTGTCAGAAAAATGAATATTGCAGGTATTTACAACATAGGTGCATGTTACACGTGAGCTCTGAAATCTGACAGAGGAAGCCCTGACAGCTTGAGAGTCAGTTTGTTTCTGAAGAACTCAAGTATTTCTCTTAATGGTGTAAGGCCAAAGGAAAGCCTAGCATGACCATGGAACTGGTCTGTAGTTTGTCAGTGAACTACTTATTGCATGATTGTTACACTCTAGCTGCAGAGTTGCTCCTGTCAAGATGACAAGCAGATTACAGTTCTGCTTACAAGAAACCCATAATTCTTCTGCTCTTATGTACTTTTTGCATTATAACCTCCTGAAGTTAAGCTTTTTACCTCTCTTCTTTGATAGAAAAGGTTGCAGGTGTTTACAAAGACCTTCAGAAATTATCCCGTCTCTTTAAAGACCAGCTGGTGTACTCTCTTCTGGCTGCTGCCCGACAAGGTGAGAGAAAATGTTTACAATTAGAGATGGTACTTCATTTTTGAGGATGGAAGGGAGCGGGTCTATCTGAAGGAGCAGTGTTAGAAACAGCTGCTCAGTGATGGGTATATAAAGAGTAAGCATAAAGTCATTTGTACATTCTAAAGAAATTATATTAATCTTTGCATCTCAGCAAATGTTAATATATTGATTATTTCCTGGTTTTTTTTTTCTGATTGCTCTAGTTACATTTAAGAGACTGAAGTGGAGTGGCTGTTATCCACACTTGGCGATGAGAAAATCATACCACAATAATTTTGTGGCAGCAGTTCTGTAGTTTTGATCCATTTCTTTGTCAAAGCAGAAAAATTTATATAGCATCATATTTGGAAGTCTAACCCCAGGAATGATCTTCTCAGTAACTGGTCATTGAGGGCTTGGAAAGGATGGTAGGAAGTAACTCAAGCTGGTGTTTGTGAAGCAGTAGGAAGCCAGGCTTTCTCTGCATAGGTATTGCCATAAAAGGTCTCAGCTTTGTATTCTGAAGACTATTCAGTGGAATTCCCTCTAGACTTCAGTGCGGAAAGGTTTTATGTGAAGCATGTGCTCTATATTTGATGTGTTTTTTGTGGGCTCATGAAATTGGGCAGGTCTTTTTTCTTTTACCTATTCCTTTGTTCTGTAGCCTAAAAACATAGTTAGGTGTGTGGAATGTTTCTTAGGCTTAGTGGCCAATAGTGGTGAGTATGAAGTGCCATTTGCCCTATTTTGTGCACTCCATTAATGTACTTAAGAGTTGCAAGAGATCTGTTTTATAAGAAATCATGTCACAGTACTTTCTGAGAAAAGTGGTGTAACTCAGGCATCAAAGGGAAATGATTTAAGGGAAAGATTATAATGTCCTTTCTTTCTTTTAGGGTCTTTAGAGATAGAGTAAACTCTGCACCACTTAGGTAATGCTTCTATTTTCTCCACTTTGTAGCTCTGAACTTGCCAGATGTGTTTGGGTTAGTGGTCCTTCCTCTTGAGCTCAAGCTTCGGATTTTCAGACTTCTGGATGTCCGTTCACTCATCTCTCTTTCTGCTGTTTGCCGTGATCTTTACACAGCTTCAAATGACCAGCTTCTATGGAGGTTTATGTATCTGCGAGATTTCCGAGGTAATGTTGAGACACGTTTTTCTAATTACATTCTCACGTGAGCAGAGGGATTGGGTCTGACAGATTTTGTTAAGAGGCTCCTCAGGCAACCGCTTCTGATTTTTAAACACTGTGAGTAAATGCAGTCATTTGTGATGCTGACCAGTACAGTTGGTCAGGTGTAATTCAGGTGGATGCGCGGTTTTCTGCCAGGAAAACTGGTGACAGTCTGCTGAGCCATTACTGATGGACTACATAGTTCTTCCCATTGTGTGGCACAGACTTTCCTTGTTTTCATCTGTTTCCCTGGCTACCTTGGTGTTTTGGCTATTGCAGATATTGGGAAGTGGAGGGAAGAGATATTCCTGCTATAATTTCTCACAAGAGATTGAAGGAATAAGGTGATCAAGGGAGGTGCTGTCAGAAGTCAAAGGTGGGGACAGTGTTTCTGGGATTTCTCTATTTATTCAGTAACTTTTGGAGATGATGCTTTACATAGAATGGGCATGCAAGCATATTACCTATTGATTGGTCCTGGAGCTTTATATTTTTTAAGATGCATTATCTTTATGAAAAATGTATTGACCCATCTCTTGATTCTTCTGCAAGTTCTGACAAAACTGTGGGCATCTGTGGCATGAATGCTACTTAAAGGTAAAATAGGTTGCTCTTCTTAATTTTATGCTTCTCTTTGTAGATCCTATTGCGAGACCTCGTGACACAGACTGGAAAGAAGTAGGTGGCGTTTTTTTATATAATCTCAGTGAGATTAGTCTCCATGGGCTAGTTTGAGAATAAAGCATAGACATTGGGAGGCAGTAACTTTTGAGTTAAATTTTGGTGTAAAAGTGTGGTGTTCTGTGTACACATGTTGAGTTTGGTCAGAGTAGGAGAAAACAACATCAACAAGTTACGTGGTGCATGCCCAAATAGTGGGTTAGAGGTCTTCCAGAGATGCTGTGTTTGGTCTTTGGCAGTCAGGGGAGTTGCTATTCTGGGTTTTCAGACTGGTGAGGAGTGCTTTTCAGAGAAGTGCTGCAGAACTGAATGCAGTTGCTGAAGGTGGAACACAAAGCATTTACAGAGCTTTAAAATGCCTTTGTTTCTGTCTGCAGCTATACAAGAAAAAGTTGAAACAGAAGAAGGAGACCCTGAGATGGAGGCACATGATGTTTCTGCCCCCTACACCTCATCCAATCCCCTTTCATCCCAACCCATTCTATCCTAATCCCTTTCCTCCCAACCCATTCCCATCAAACCCAATCTATCCCCCAATGATCATTGGTGGAGAGTATGACGAGAGACCAACACTTCCTTATGTTGGAGACCCAATTAACTCACTCATTCCTGGCCCAGGAGAAGCACCAGGCCAGTTTCCTCCTTTCAGACCACATTTTGACCCAATTGGTTCCTTGCCTGGAGCAAACCCTACACTTCCAGGACGAGCTGGTCCCAATGACAGGTTTTCACCTAGACCCAGCCGGGGCCGCCCCATGGACATTCGCCGTGCGTTCATTTGATTGCTGCTTTTTCCCTCAGTGAGTTTTCTAGTCCCTGAGCTTGCTTTCTAACTGCAGGAGATTGCAAATCCCAGGCACTAACATCTGCCTTCTCTTCAGATTGTGGCAAGAACATGTGTGCATGGTAATGTTTCAACCACAAAGGCTGGGTTTGTTTTATGCTCTGGTAGTACTGTACCATCTGGCACTAAGGTCTGTTTCACGAAGAGCTACAACTTAGAACAGTTTGTTCTGCTTCCCGCCCCCCTTGCCCTTAATCATCTGTGAAGTGCTACTTAGAGACCAGAAGGATACCAGCCAAATATTTGCTGCATCAGATAAAGAGCACTTTAAATATAAAGCCTATACTTGTCTGTCTTATTTGAAAAGTTTTATTAAATTGCCAGGAAAAATGACGATGTGTAAAATCTGCCTGGCTAATAATCTCTATTGACAAAAACATCTACCACATAGAACAGGATACTACCACTGTTAGATGTGCGTTCATGGAAATTTTCAAACATGATATTTCCTTTTTCCTTTAATGTTTTATTAGGTAAAAAGCATTTTTGTATTGTTACTTAATACACAAAGAATACAGGGAAGGGATTTTTTTTACAATGGAAATATTAGAACACAGATCAATTCGTTTTACAAACAACTGAGTAAAGTCATGCTACAGTGCAACTTGGAAGTCTGAACAGAAGCAGAGCAATTTTACAAAGAACCAGCAGCAAAACTTTTGTCTTTCTCCTTGACTTTACAAATAAGGAGCTGTAGTACATGGCTGCATTTACTGTGTGTGAACTAAAACTGGTGCAAAAATAAATCTTTCCTCCTGCCTAACTTACTTAAGGAATTAAATAAGTTGATCTGGTTGCAGTGGAAATGGGATCACAGCAGGAGAAGCAGAATGAATTCTCACTTTACTGCAGTAAATTCCATTTAATTCCATTACTTAAGTATCAAAATATATCTTGCCAAGAGGAAATGTGTTATAGCACGTTATGAGCACCTTTCAAGTGTTGCCCTATTAACTAATGAGCAACTAACAAGACCACTGTTAAAGTCTGATGATACCTGCAGGCTGATGCTGGAGCTCAATTAAAGGAAGACCGCAATGACTAAACTTTGCTAGAACTTTTCATTTCTTACATATTTTTTTAAGATGGATTGATCTCAGTGTTTCTATAAATGTAAATGGTACTGATGACTGTTGTGACAGCTGATACTATTTTCTAAAATCTTTTTGAAATTCCAGCAGTGGAAATGGAATGACATTTCCTGTTGAATACAAGCTATTTAATCCATAATACTTATGTGCTTTTTCAGGTGATATTTCAGTGATTCATCTTCTTGTTTTGTATAAAGTCGGCTGACTTCAGTAGGGTCAGGAAGTTTTGCCATTAACTCCGGTGGAAGTAAAATATAATACTTTATTTTGCTGTCAAAAGTTGTATTGCTTCTTTCTTCCCTTTTCTACTTCACAGCACTGGCATGCCAGTGCAAATCCTCCCATAATTAAATACCTAAGAGTATGTGTTTAGGGACAGTGGTTTCACTTCAATACCAAGATTAGCCTTAATTTTCGACATTTGCCTGCAGTGGTTGAATTGCCTTGTTCAAACAGAATTTTCAGTTAAGTGAAGCATATAGTCAGGCCTCTTAGAGCTTACAGTGATTCTTTATATTCCACTGACTATAAAAACGAAAAGGGAAATCTACACTGCGTTGGTCTTGCACTTGTGATGAGTGCTGCAGAAATGCTTCAGAAGTAACTGTGTCATGTGGAAGGTGTAAGGTCTTGTGTACCTGCCTGTCATTAGTGAAAGAGAAGAAAATACCGCTGCAGATATGAGCAGGACTGCTATTCTTCTGAACCTTAGCTTTATACAAGACTCTTAGTTGCATAGGAACGTAAGTGACATTCCTCTTGAAATACCACACCTAGATACTACAAGAAAGTCAAGGTGTTTCTCTGTATCTAAACAGCAAAATGTAAACTAATTTTCCAGGTGGTGGATATGAGTGGGTGTCATAGCTGTGTCCCAGCTCTTTCTTGGGCTGGATCCAAACACGCAAATCTATTCATGTTTCCTGGCTTCCATGTGAAGAAAATTAAAGCATGCAGGACGAAAGGGAAGCTCTGACCAGGTGCTCAATTTTCACAGCTGTGTGAGAAAGATCCCAAGGCATGCTCTGGGACATGTCTGCCCTGTGATTTAAAAGTAGCTTATTCACCAACTTTTCTGTTGCCTTCTTACTGCCCCTAACGCCAGCTGTTATATTTAGGTACCTACATACCTCTTGGATCTACCTTAGTTCCCCATTCATAAAAATGGAGAATATACCCCTTGTATTCCCTCTCTCTCTTGCTTTGTTAGATTGTAGGGATTTTGGAATAGAAACCCTACGTCAAAGGTGATAACCTGAATACACGATGATGCATTTGTGAATCTCCTGCTAGCCACAACATCTAGTGTGTGAGCATCATAGCTGTAGATTGAAGCGTACTGTTGGAACATTTATAGGACGCAGTATAGAGTTTCACCAAGCTGTGTGGTGCAGTCGACATGCTGGAGGGAGGGGATGCCATCCAGAGGAACCTTGATAGGCTTCAGAGGTGGGCCTGCGCCAACATCATGAAGTGCAACAAGGCCAAGTGCAAGGTGCTGCACATGGGTCAGGGCAATCCCAAGCACAAACACGGGCTGAGACATGAGTGGATTGAGAGCAGCCCTGTGGAGAAGGACTTGGGGTGTTGATTGACAAAAAGCTCAACACGACCCAGCCATGTGTGTTTACAGCCCAGAAAGCCAACTGTATCCTGGGCTGCATCACAAGAAGCGTGACCAGCTGGTCGAGGGAAGGGATTCTCCCCCTTTACTCCGTTCTGGTGAGATCCCACCTGGAGTACTGCATTCAGCTCTGGGGCCCCCAACATAAGAAGGACATGGAGCTGTTGGAGCGAGTCCAGAGGAGGGCCACCAAGATGGTGAGAGGGCTGGAGCACCTCTCCTATGAAGACAGGCTGAGATAGTTGGGGTTGTTCAGCCTGGAGAAGGCTGCGGGGAGACCTTATAGCAGCCTTCCAGTACCTAAAGGGTGGCCTACAAGAAAGCTGGAGAGGGAGTTTTTACAAGGGCATTTATTGACAGGACAAGGGGTAATGGCTTTAAACGGAAAGAGGGTAGATTTAGATTAGATATAAGGAAGAAGTTCTTCACTGTGAGGGGGGTGAGGCACTGGAACAGAGGTCTCTGCCCAGGATGCCCCATCCCTGGAAGCATTTAAGGCCAGATTGGATGGGGCTTTGAGCAACCTGGTCTGATGGAAGGTGTCCCTGCCCATGGCAGGGGGGTTGGAACTAGATGATCTTTAAGGTTCCTTCCAACCCAAACCATTCTATGGTTCTATGATTCGTCATTTTAACCTAGGAAGTCAGTGCGGTGTTTTCATTAAAGCACTTCTGTGTATACAACTGAAGATGCTTTTCAGGAACTGTAGCATTAACCAAGTTAAGCTGAGAGTGCCTGTTGCTTTTAGTTGTTTTTGCAAGCTGGAGCTAGGAGGAGGGGAGATGCCATTCTGTTTGTCCCTTGAAAGATGACAGCTGGGAGCTGTAGGCAAATGAAGAGATCTGAGTCACTGCTGGGTATCTAGTCCACAGTGCTATCCTGTTACTGTGGTCCATTGGAGGACAGCCCTGCTCTGTTCAAATGCAGCATCAGCAAATGATCCAGCCGTTGTTGTTTCGATGATGAACTGGGATTGATTTATGGGGCCATGCCATACTAGTCACTAGTTACTTATTTTTTGTATAGGTTGTATTGGTAAGAGAGACGTAAAAAGATTCAGGGGATAGAGCAATTGAGGATTCTGGCAGTAAACTTTTATTTCTGTCTTTGCATCTCTAGTGACCATTTAGTAGGGAAAGGCATAAACCATGCTGAAGGAAGTGTTATAGAAGGAAATTCTCTCCCACCAGAGTTGTATTACCTCCTCTCCATGTAGTGGAGCCTGTTAATCTGCTATTGTTCTTGCCAGTGGGACAGTGCTTGCTCAAGGCCATTTGTCACTCTTTTATTGCTCCTGGAGACTGCAAAACAGCAGGGTCTGTTTTTTTTCTCAGACAATGACATATAATTATGATGCTACATTGTAAACTGCTTAGCAAACCTGGAAGGATAACACAGAACTGGGAAAAAAAGAAAAAAAAAGATAAATCATCAGGGAATAGGGTGGTTCTATAATACTGAACTTGCGGTATAAATCATTGATCCAGATGAGTCTCTTGAGAGCCTTCCATACTGGAAAAGCTATGCTGTTACTTGCCTGAAAGTGCACAGGTCACAAAAGCCGTTATATGTGTAAAGGCCTGCTCAGGGGTAGGTCGTACAAGGTCCAGATGACTGCATTGGATTTAGATGTTCATTACAGGTGCTATGCAGGAAGGAGTTGCTTGTTTGAGTTTATTCCCACCAGTGAATCGTAAGATCCAAGATGGCAAATGCTGCTGTTGCTCTTGCTGCTTTGGGGATCTCCCTGTTTAAGTGACAGCAAAGATCTCTGCCATTGGCTCAAATGTTTTTAATTTACTGACCTCCCTGCTTCCCTGGGCATTTCTAAGTGTCATCAGGGTGAAGTTGCTAAGGGAAGCACAAAGCCAAAAGTCTGGCCTTGAAGCTGTATGCACGGTTTGTGACTAAAGTACTTGAGAAAACGTGAAGTCAAGTCGAGGAGGTGGGATGGGGACTGGCATTAGGTGTGTTACAAACAGAACTAGCACGGTGCAATGAGTAGGTTCTTGGCTGGTAGAAACAGCCATAGATACATTGATTTACCCATGCCAGTTTTTTCAATCGTGAATGTAGCTTGTGTCATTCCTGGTTTTTGCCATGTCCCAGTTCTAATATATGTGCTCATACACAGCTTCATTTTGTGTTGCAGGCTTAGAGGAAAAGCACGTCTGGCAAAGATCCATCTCTGTCTTCTCTGGAAGAATAATTCTTGGGGGTGGTCGGGGAGGATCCCATACATGTCCTCCCATGGCTTGGTGTCTCTGGATGGGCCCCAGCTCATCCTGGTTGTAAATGAGTTTTGTTTTAAAGGATAGTTTTCCTGTTCTATTGCAGGTTTGTCACCTTGCATTCATTTTGCACTCACCCCAGTGAAGTCAATGGGAGTTCAAGGAGGGAGACAGGATTTCACTCCATCTCTCTGTCCGTTCGGTATTATGGAACACTCAGCACACCAGTATGTGCACTTCATCAGCTCTGCTATTAATTAAGCATATTCCTGGGGGACATACTTAGCCAGATGTGACCAAGTCACCAAAGTGCTGGGAGTTTAGCTGGGTTTTGTCTGGAATTTGTGTGAACTGTGAACGTGAACTCTCGTGTTTCCAGGGGCAGGGGAAGAAGTTGGTTTTCGTGTGGAAGGCCCATTTCACAGGTTATTTTTGAGCTAAGGCTACAGGGTTAGAACAGGACATTTTTCTCTCAGAACTCAGGAATCACGTGCAGGGAACATAAATGCAAGGCATGAAACAGAGATATTTTATCTGCTATGAGCAGAGTGATCTGCAACAAACCAGCAGTCCATCTGGATGACCTGCTCATGTGATCTTTGGCGCTTACTGATGCCTGGTACCATATTTAACTTGAATGTAGTTTTGCTCTGAAAAGTGACTTTTTATAAAGTTGGTATCATGAAGTTCCACAGTTCACTGTGTTTCCATGCTCAAGCATGCTCACTTTATCAGTCAATGAATACTTATTCTTGACTCTGTCTTTGCACATCTGTTTCTGAAATAAGCCTATATTTTTTTTTAGCTCGGCCTCAACAAGGATTCGGTAATTGGAAGTTAGGAATTGTATTGACTATATACAAATTGAAATAAAATCTGGTTTGCACTGTTATAACTCTGTTGACTCCACAGGGGTTAGCAAGAGTAAAATTTGCTTTACAACTCAGTCGTTTGAATAGATGTGATTCTGATTATGCACAAAAAACAATGAAATAGTGCCACTTTTATATAGTCACTTTTCAGACCGTTATTAGAATATTTTCTTCATATTAAACAACTATAGCTTCCTAAATTCCCTTTACCCAGGTGTTAGTTGTAAA